TATTCACTTTAAGATGTTTTTTGTTCATGTTTTTTGTTTGTTGCGGTTGCACCCGATTCAAGAGCCGAATGGCTCACAGGGCTATACCTAATAAATGAACTTGAACTTGCAAAGTTTCTCCGAGTCTCACCCTCCCCGCCCACTGGCGTGCGGTGCTTGCGAGCAGTTGCCTGTTGTTCAACGTCGCCCTGAACATTTTTACGACGACCGTAATTATTCATTTTAGTTTCGCAGTTTCACGGTCTTAAAAACACGAGCCACCTTTTTGCCCACTCGTAAAAGAAAAAATGGCAATAAAGTTGAGCACCCAGCGGAGCCGTCAAACGGCAGGCCAGACGAATTACCTTCTGAAATAAAAGCCGCGGAGGGAGCGGAGGGGAGGGTAGTAGTCGCGTTATCCGCCACGACCTCGTCACGACCCAGAAAAATCCATGCAGGTGCCTGGCCGAAACTTGTAAAAAGCTCCCTTTAACCAGAACTCGCAGCTAGCCTTCGATAGCCCCCCCTCCCCTATGACTCACAGTTGCTTAAAATGCAGTTAACGCGGGTGCCTTGAAAGCCATTCCTTTCTTGAAATGTCCCTTTTAAAAATAAATAAAGGCATGCTGTAATAGCTGTGCCAAATGTGGCACCCCTTTGCACGATAGCTATGGAGAGAACTGGTCACTGCCGTAGGAATGTGGAATTTAACACCACACTGGCCACGCACCGACATTTTAGTGTTGGGAGACACTTTGTATTAATTTCAAACAATGTTTGCCAAAAGAAAGAACTAAGAGTATGAATCCTTGCAGTCACGAAAGCTTCAAATATATAATTAATACCCTCTACGGGGAGGAATTCCACCTATCTGTTAGAATTTTTAAAACGTGACTTTACCGAAAGAACTAAGAGTATGAATCCTTGCAGTCACGAAAGCTTCAAATCTAGAATGTTTGCCAAGTAATTAAATAGGGGGAGAGTGGGGGTGTGGGGCTTTAAACATGTTCCAGAAAATTAAGGAGGTGAGATCGCAATTTGTGTTCATAAAGAGACAAAGGGGGTGGACATGAGAGGCACAGTGAAGATGTCACTCGGTGGAGGGCAGAAGGAGATGGGGAGGGTGTGGGTAGAACGAAACGTGGCAAGGAACGAAGCACAGAGAACGACAAATCCGAACGGCGGACCCCCCATGCAACAACGGAACTTGTCGCATGGAACACGACGCAGATCTTACAGTTTGAATGTGTGAGTCTATGCTCACGTGGTGTAGGCGTGTGTGAGTCTACGGGTCTGTATGTGTGTGTATGTGTATGCGTGTAGTTGGATCTCACAACAACGAGCAGAGCGCCGGGTGGTTAAAGCACAGCAAGTGGGTACAGTAGGGGGCACAGGTGGTGCATCAGCCAGTCATCTCGGTCATCTCAGTCAGTCGACCCGTGGCACCTGCTGGGTCTGCCCCGTGACCTCCTGCCAGCGGGCGTTCGACACTTCACGTGGCCTCAAGGTGCACATGGCCTGGCACAAGCGTCGTGGTGACGTCACCGCCACTTAGTGGCGAATGGCGGTTGTTGTTGTAGTTGGATCGCTACGTAAGGAGGAGAGTGGATGTGCGGATAGAAGCAGCACGGAATAGAATCCAAGCAGATGACCCCCCCCCATGCAATCAGGTTCAAGTTTATTTTTGTTGTTGAGAAACGTATTTTTTTTAAGATCTGCTCATTAACACGTAGGCTTTCGCGACCAATATCATCCATAGAACATGGCAATTCGTCACTAGTAATTACTGGCGAAACGTCGTTCTCAGATTGTAAATGTTGTGGCTTGGCTCTCCAACACACCGGTTAGTGCTGTACTAGTACACTACACTATACACTACACTATACACTACACTACTATACACTACACTACACACTAGTGCTGTACTAGTGACGAATTTGCCACGTTCTGTTTACGTGACAACCCTTACTAGTTGGCTGTGTCGGGTGCTGGCGGGTTTAACGACACATTTATATATTTATATACGCGATCAAACCCCCAAAAACCCTCTATTGTGGAAGATTTGCTATATATTTTATCAACCGAGAAGATGGATTCTGGCTTAGCAATCATTGGAAGGATTTAATTAACCATTTCGGGTCTTAATTGATTGTGTTCACGCTTATGGTGACTTTCAGACCGCATTCCATTCTCTGCTCCCCCCTCCTCTTTTCCGAACATAGATGGACTCGTCCATCTGGCCAACTGCCAAATCGCTGTCCGTGGTGCTGACGTTACGAAAAACCGCCACTTTTTTCAAATTTTCTTTCTGTGGATTTCACACCTGATGATGATTGCTTGTGTTGCAGTCGAAACGTCGTGAGAATTTGTATTGTTTTATATTATTTTATTATTTCCCTTCTACGTGACTTTACCGAAAGAACCAAGAATATGAATCCCTGCAGTCACGAAAGCTTTAAATCAAGATGTATATATATAGTTATTGTTGCTGAACAGATTACAGCCTCCCCATCCGATGCTCTGGGTGGCATTAATCAACGCCAGACGCGTCGCAACCCACTTCTCCCCCCCGCCCCTTCGTTTAAACAATCCGAGCCGCCACGCCAATGGTGGCCGCGTGGCTCGGAGGACAGCTGTCGGTTCCGCCGTGACCCGTGGGTTACAATTCGAGTTTCCAGACAGCCACGCGGTTCAACCGGGTGTCTCGATCACAGCAAGTCGACGTTTCCCAGCCTGGTCACCCAATGACTGGGTTAAGGTAAAAACTAAAAACCCATCATTGTTTCGGCTAGCCTTTGGGACTCTGGACTGAAGCTCACCGGCGCATCTTATACTTGAGCATCGCCACAGGCCTCGTGATAATGTGACTGAAATATGGCGCTGGACAAAAACATGTGATCATTATTTGTGTTAAAAAAAAGATTAGATATTTTTTCCCACAATTTGCTAAAATTCCAAGCTTTGACTGCCGGGTGACAAACATTTCTCCCTTTGAAAGGTACAGCGCCCCTGACGTGAATAAGAGTTCACTCGAATAGATCTGAGAAGTAGTTCTGTGAAATCTGCTTCCACGGGCCGTTTTCTAACATGGGGGGGGGGGGGGGGAGTGGGGGCGGATGCATTTGTCTGCAACAAAAAAATGTCCATGTCCAAACACAGTACACACGTTTCCTTCTTCATCATCTCAAGCCGAGACGCAGAATTCACAAATGGAATACATTTGGGGGTGGGGGAGGGGGAACACAAAATGTAAAACAACAAAAAAAATTGGCGATATTAGGCGCCACGAAAATAAAAGACAAGGCATCCACCCTCAATACCCCTCCCCCCGCACCCCCCGTTTTTATTCTGCGTCTTCACTCCGTGTCTGGTGCACCAAGACATCGGCTCATCTCCTAAAACATCAAAGGCAAAACAAAAACTGGCAGTCAAAAGGCCGTGGCCGTGACAATAGCCACCCTCCTTTGCACCCCCCCCCCCAACTCCCCTCCGCCCCTATCATGCAACGTGTCCCCCCTACCACAACACGATCACCAAACGTTTCAAAAATAGCACCTTTAAAGCACACATTGTGTGCAATTATCTTCAATACACCCTTACACTTGTTAACGTATCTCACCCGCAACAGCGGCAACAGCGGCAGCAGCAGGGACATCGCCGCCGTTTCAGCTGGACGGTAGCGGCGACGCGGGCAAAGCCATTGCAGGGCTGCGCCTTTATGTCTCGTCTCGAGGAATGGACAAGCGGGCGGGCGGGCGATGATTGAAAACAAAAGACTAAAATATATATCGCACTATGAGACATCTTCTTTACCAGCGGCAAAATATAGTAATAGGTTTTTACCCTTTCAACTGGTACAATGCTTACCCCGAGCTCTCAATACTCTGATAGTGCGCTGATTCAAGAGCTGAATGGCTCACAGGGCTATACCTAAGAAATGAACTTGAACTTGAACTTGTTTTTGAGTTGTACGCCTTTTGGCGTCATCTGGTCCAACACCAATGTGAGACTAGGCTCTAAGAAAAGCTGTCTCGGGTGTGGACCAATCAACTTCAAGGACAGTGCATATTATTATCATTATCAGAGTTGTTTATTTTTGTTTGCATTTTGACTGCTTGTGTTGTGGTTATTGCAAACATGATCCCTTGTATAAAGGTATCAGTTTTTGTACCAGTTGAAAGGGTAAAACCCTATTACTATATATCGCATGTCGTCGTCGTCGTTCGCGCAAATTTGAATCCCATCAATCACCGAGCGGGAACCGCAGACACGAGCTGGGAGGCTGCCAGCCGGTGAGCCGGGCGCAACCAACAATTGCTCTGCAGTCCTCTACGTATTAAGATGTTTTCAGCCAACGCGTGAGCGTTTGTTATACACAGCGGGCAGGACACCGGAGCGCCCGGAGCAAAAATTCACGCCTTTAAAAGTTTTAAATAAATATTCAGGGACAGAAGGTGATCGGTCCACACTTTGCCGGACTGCATTCTGCCCGGCGAGCCGGGGGTCACGGCTTCTCTTCGACCTCCCGCCCACCCACCCACGGGTAGAAGGGAGTTTCTTCAGTGCGGGTGATTCATCAACCCTCACTGGTGCCTGCCACAACGTTGGATCAGAGGCAGCCGCGTGCCAAGGCGAGGAAGCGGGTGGTGGCAACGCGCAGGCGATGCCCGTTGCTCAACTGGCTGCGTTGAGGGCGTCGTTTTATTCCTCTGCGCATTTTTCTCGAAGGTCGAGAAGACCTTCACGTTGTTGTTGTTGTTGTTGCTGTTGTTGTCGTCACGAATATCGAAACAGCAACACAATCCCCCCCCCCCCTCTCCAACACACGATGGCCTTCAAAAACGAGAAGGCAATAGGCGACGTTTCGGAGCAGTAGCCCTTCTTCACAGCAGGTTCATTAACGAACGTGTAAATGTTTTGATGATTATTGTACTCGCGCTCCACTGCCGACGCAGAATCACGAAGTAATGTAATCTATATTGCCGCAGGCATTTAGTAAGCGTCACTACGTTGACATTGCGGAGAGGCATTGTACCGACTTTATTAGCTTGCGATGTGATGGTCTCAGCCTGGCCACCAATGACTACACTAAAAAAGGCATCGCATTAAAATCAGTTTTTTCCCACTTAATTTTTGGCGAAATTCCAACTCTGAGAATTGTAACACATCAACTACATTTATATGTGGGATTGAGTGCCATGCAAACATCGGTAGCTCTGTGACAGCTAGTTCCACGGGCTGTCCACTAACACGGTTGCATTGTGCTTAGCGAGAGTTCTGAAAGGGTACGATGTCTCGTGGTGCCGATGACACAACGTTGGAATAATATTTGAAAAAAAATTATAAGCATTTAGGAAAAAAACTATTTTGAATCTTGATGTTGAACCTTTCTGGGATTAATTACAGTCGCGTAATATCAATAGTGATTACATCATTTGCAACAGATGGCTTGCATGGACTCTGTTGGCGAGCATAGCAATACAAATTTACTGAAATCTCCTCTCACAAATGCTTTAAAATAAACACAAAAAATCTGAGCCGTTTAAAAATGCCTCATTCCCTCAATACAATCTTGAGCTTTGGATGCGGAAACAGCGATTCGAAGACAAATTAATGGTCTACTGCCTGTGGCAGCAGCAGCAGTCACCTAACTGACCGTCTGATCTGGAATAAAAAAAAAACATAAAAACCATAAACAGTTCGTCTTAGTATTCCCTCGCTATTCACCAACTTTCTATCGGCGATTTGAGCTTTCCGCGAATCGCACCTGGAACTCTACACAACTGCATCGAGAGAGAGAGAAAGAAAGTGATGAGATCAAGTGATGAAATGAATTTCACGTATTCAACATCTTATGTATTTAAGCTCATTCATTTAAAATATAGGTTTTCGTACGACAAACTCTTTACCCGCGAAATTTGCCATTCACGAACATTTCTCCTGAACGTATCGCTGGCAAAAAAACGAGGCGATGCTGTATTCCAGACTGCACATCGGCTGTGTTCTGGGTTGTTGTTGTTGTTTTCGCAGCGCGCATGCCAGTCTCCAGAAATAAATAAAAACAAAAATGTACCAACCACACAACGCGCTCGTCGCAAAGCATCATGCTGCTCGCGAAAAAATAATACAAACTCGCTGTGGGACAGATCTCGCTTTGTAAACGTAGCGGCCTGCAACATGAACGACCGAGCCCACGCTACCAGTCGTTGCAATAAAAATATCTTAAAATAAACGACTGCGCTATGTACAAGGAAACAGGCCACAGTCGGCAAAGTTACACTGGGGTTTTTTTTTGTGACAAGAGCTGCATTTTTCGAAGGCTGGTTGTTCAACCATGCGGACGCAATATTGTTTGCTTGTACGAACCACAGTCCCCCCCTCCACCCCCGCACATCCGATTAGCACATTTGGCTACATACGGTGCAGAAGAAGTTCAACATACGTACACACGAGAATGATATTTTCAGCATCTGTCAAACCACTGCTAAATTAAGGCTTCACCCTCCACCCCCACACACCGTATTGGTCAATGAGAGTCATTGTGACCATCTCTTTATCCCAGTCAGAATATTAACTTCTACTCAAGGAATCCTATGAGCCATGAAGCTCTTTTTCACAGATGGTCTACGTGGTTGGTGAAGGACCAGGCTCGGGCAACCGCTTGCCACCGGTACATTTTGCCATGTCCGGGAATCGTCAAAATCAAGCCGCCAAAATGTAACCGGCCAGTGCGCTAACCACCGCTCCCTCCGCTCCGCTCGGTTCCACGCAGCGAGCGCCTTTTTAAAACACCTCTCAACTGTTGCCACTTTCTAATAAATATATATTTTTTTATAATACACATCAACACAGCTGAACCTCGCCCGGTAATATATTAACCCGATGGCAGCTTTGTAGCACAAACATTGCATATTGCGTCTTTGCACCATGCGCTGCTAATTAAATAACCTACCAGATATAATACACGTGTGATACAATGCTGCAAGATGCAGTAAAAAAAAAGAAAAAAACAACGGACCGCGTGTGACCTTCAGGTCAGTCCGGCAATCACACCGCCCAGACGTTCTCGCCGCTTCTCCGGAGGCGTTTCAACCGAATGGTTTCGCGACGACCGACAGGTTGAAGTTGGCATTCGGATGTCGGTGACCTCGCTTTGACCCACGGCCACTCGGTGTACGGGAGCCGCTTCTAATAGACGCATGGGACGGCAGCAGACGAAGTCTTCGTGGAAATCTGTTTCGTTCCGTTGATTGCCATGTGTCAGCCTCCATACGATAGGCAGTCTCCACGTGTTCATCTGTATGTGTGTTGTGTACGTGCGTGTATGGGTTGTGTACGCTACCTTTCCAATGACCTCCTGCCGGTGATTCTTCAACACTTCACGTGGCCTTAAAGCGCACATAGCCTGGCACAAGCGCCGTGGCCACATCACCGCCACCGAGTGATGTTGTCGTTGTTGTTGTTGCTTGTTGTTGCTATATGTGTACTGAAATATTCAGTCAGGTGTTGCTTGGGCAGAGTGCGCGACCCATAATCAAGCGGGCCACAAGTTCAAAATGCTGTCCGGGGGTCGACTCAACCCATCATCATCGTCCCCTGTGCAGGGCTGTTAAAATGAGGTACTGCTTCAGTCGAAAGTCAACAGTCACCATCCTACGGAGAGACTGACTCCGCCAGAGGAACGTGGAATTTCCACCCCTGGCCCTAGGCCCACCGAAAGATACGAGCACCATTACACACTCACTGGAGTAGGTAAGACACTATGAGCAGATTTTGATGAACACATGACTCAGCCTCAATTGAGTACCTGGTGCAATGTGTGGACATCGCCACTTACACGAACGGGTGGGTGTCGGACACCCACCCCCTCGTGTACCGTGCCGGCCTTCATAGGCGCTACACGCCAACAGCACTTGCCCTAACAGTCGGCGAAGGCTACACGGAGGATCTTTGCCTTTCTAGCAATACATATAATCCGATACACACGCGTGGCACGGAACGAGGTGACCACGAGTTTTGGTCGCGCGTGCAGGCGACTGCCTGTCGCTGGCCTCCAGGTTCCGAGGTCACAGCAGAAAGGGCAGGATGGGCTTGCGGAGGCGCGGGTAGTCTGCGAACGCCTTGAGGTACACCTGATGCTTCTCGCGAGCCCAGATGGTCATTTGCACGAAGCCGAACACCAGGAAGATGGCAGCTGTGGGCGCGACACAACGCGCACAAAATTCAGTTCGTTGTCTCCCCCCCCCCTCGGCACTTCAGATTAGCACGGTTGGTTAAGTACGGTGCGAAAGAAGTTGAACATACGCACATACATGCAAGCGACATAACGCCAACTTTAAACGGTGAAATTGTTCTCAGGTTTAGCAGGTTGCAGCCGAGGTCTAGTTTTGGTCACGTGTCGAGGTGGCTGGGTTGATGCAGAGGTCAGATCGGGTTCTCAATTGATGGACTGAAAATGTTCACCAATGACTGTGTAAATACATGATCGTTTCGGGTAGCCTTTGGCACTCGAGACCGAAGGTCACCAGCGCCTCTTATACTTGAGCATCGCTACAGGCTTCGTGACACTGCGATTTAAATATGGCGCTAGACGTGACTTTACCGAAAGAACCAAAGAGTATGGATTCCCGGAGTCACGAAAGATTCGAATCAAGATTAAATAGGTCACGTATGCCGAAACTCCGTTTTATATATATATATTTTTAATCGCTTAAGGATTACCTCACAGAATGGACAATTTGGTTAAAATATTGATGTTCATTCTTCAAACATTTTTTTCTCAGAACCATATTGGGTCAGGCAAGGGGGGACGTGAGGGGGGGGGCGGGTTTACTCGGTGGAAACTAAATTCAACAAGGGGCGACACCGTAGCCAACCCAAGGTTGAAAACTCGCTGCTCTGACACGAAAGAATGCATGCGCTGCATTTTCCGGATCATTCGCGATCTCGTACAACATTCTACGTGGGTCTCAACCAGCTTCGTATAATTCGACGCCGTTGTTCAAAGCAACATTTGTCAGGATATACGACCCCGAAGAACAACGATTGCGTGACGTTTACCTCTGTCCACATTGTGTCAGAGGTGCGCAGGCATTGTTTCCCCCTCTTGGTAAATAAACGAAATAAAAACAATTGTGGGTGCCTACTGAGGTTACCCACCTGTCCTGGGATTCCCCCCCCCCAGGATCGTTCCTCTTTTTGCGGAGGTAGTTGCTGTCCTGGGAAATCCGTGAGTCTTTCCGGCACATTAAAGGTACTGATTACACTGGTCAACCCACTTTTTCTGGCATAAGGTATTCCAACGGGTTTAAGGTAATTTTGGGGTGCTGATTCCAAATCTGGCATCAGATTTGGAAAATATTTTGTCTATCACATCAGGTTTTATTTCAAGAAAGGCTAAAACCTTTTCTTATTCTTATTGGTTCTTTCGGTAAAGTCACGTAGAAGGGAAATAATAACAGGGGTGTTGGAAAGACAGCGAATGGTGTTCATTCGGACGCTGTCTTTCCGACAGACCTGTTCTTCACCTGAGGACGGCTGCTTGCGTTGTGGCCGAAACGTCGTGAGAATTGTATTTTATTATGTAAATTTATTATTATTTTATTATTTCCCTTCTACGTGACTTTACCGAAAGAACCAAAAATCGAAACAAAAATAATTGCAAAGTGTGTGCCTTGGTAGTTTGGGGTACACAGGCTCGAGAGAGAGAGAGAGCGAGAGGTCTCACCTGCCACAGTCTGGGTCATGATGGAAAATCCAAACCAGGCTCCAATCTGCAGCGCACAGCAGCCAGCAACAATCAACGCCGCGCCATCGACAAAGTGAAAAGAAAAATTACGCGGAGCACAGCACCTCGTGTGAGCATAAAGCTGCAAATTAATTTCCAGCTTTTTGCCTTTTGTAATCACGAGGCCGCAATAAATCCTCGCCACTTGGCCATCGCTGGACGAACCGGTTCTTTACGCCGTAAGCGAAATTGCTGGCTGCCAGTGCAAGGTATACATTGGGTTGTATGGCGCTGGAGGGAAGACCATGTCAGCACATCATATAAAGTTTGCTGGGGGGTAGCTGGGGCTGGAGGGGCGGCGGGAGGCTGGGGGGGTTGGGGACAGAGCTGAGGCTGGGAGATTTAATAAACCTGCGCCGTTGTTGGCCACTGCCCGGGACCGCCAAATCGAACCGGTGACCTCTCGATTTGCAAGTCCGGCTGCGTGCTAACCGCGACACCACGCGCACACGGCAAGCATCCCAACCGCACGAAAGTGGCCGTCGACATAACGCCAAATCGTTCCGTGCTCATGAAAAAGTCGATACCGATGCCACCACCAAGGGCGCGTTAAAAATGCCCCAGGGCTAACAGGTCACCAGCTGCGTAACAAAAAATAATAGAAACGCTCGACTTGTTAACGAGCGCATTTAAAACCCGCCACCAAAACGCAACGTCTGTCAGCAGAGCCAATAATTATTATATATACAAGGGCGAGAAGAAGAATGAGAAACTCCACGTGGCGAGTTCATTCAAGCATTCTAATTGATGACCCACGCGTGTTCGACCTCAAACGCTTCGAATGAGCCCTTCTATCTCCCCCGCCCCCTCCCTCCCCCGCTCCCCGCCCCCATACCTCCCCCGCCCCTCCCCTTCTCCTGCCTCCCCCCCATCCCCCCTCCCCCATCCCTCCTCCCTCCCCCGCCCCCCTCCCTCCCCCGCCCCTCCCCCGCCCCCATACCTCTCCTGCCCCTCCTCCTTCCTCTGCCTCCCCCCCACCCCCATCCCCCAACCCTCCCCCCCTCCCTCCCCCGCCCCCTCCCCCGCCCCCATACCTCCCCCGCCCCTCCCCTTCTCCTGCCTCCCCCCCACCCCCCATCCCCCCAACCCTCCTCCCTCCCCTCCCCCGCCCCCTCTCCCCCCCGCCCCCTCCTCCCTCCCCGCTCCCCCTCCCCCCTCCCTCCCCCCCCTTGAGACGAGAGTTTAGACAGCGCTGCGCTTAGAGTTGGCGGGCACAAACGAGGTTTCAAATCTCGACCCCGAGCTCGCAGCCACGTCTCCAAGGGGACACGGGCAGCGAGATGACTTTGCTTGCGCGCGGCAACACGGTTGGGTTGACAGGCACTTTGCGCAACCTTTACGCGAGGACACGTAGCATCTCGTAACATTTACACGGGCTCGTAATAAGTGATCTTTTTTGCGAACGCGAAAACGCGTGACTGCTGTAATGGGTCTAGCAGGGCCCGGCTATTGGAACACTTTGGGGAAGTCCAGGGCTGCAATCTAAGAGTGTCACTGACAATGTATATTTTGTAATTATGTAAAATAAATCATTAAGAATGTTGGCTTTTATGTACAAAAAAATGCTTGGGTCTCAAGACTATAGTTATATTTGGGTGTAATATAGACTGGGATGGTTAACCTATTAATTAATTATTGGGTTTTTTTCTTGCGTCTGAGAGTTCGTGGAGAAAACCCAATCGTACGAGAGGGTTCACGCTCAAAGGTCTCTGCTGATGAGCTCACCGATTAACCCACTTGCTGTACTGCCAGCCACTGGCCACCTTGTAGCCAGCCGGGTTTAGGAGTTTCACGAATCTCGATGCGAATTGGATTACAGGCCTCGGGCTTTTTCAACTGAATCCTGAGCTTTTCAGATACTATAAGCAAAGATCATTCACTGTCTGTAGTGAATCTTCTACCTCTTCATATGCGTGTGGTTTGAGTTAGCAATCAACATCCAAATTTGAAATCCACTTTGTTGCTTCGGCGTAAGGAATTAGGTGGCTTTAAGCAAAGGAGACTCAACAAAAGCGCAGGGCCCTAAAACAGCTCAATGGGCACTGTATTCATGAACAAAAATTCGATTCACCAAATATCAACTCGGATTTAGATGCTAATAAGCATAAAAAGCCATCAAATAAAAACGTACTAATTAATCTCTCTCAACTCTACCTTGCCTTTTGTCTCACCTCACTAAATCTCTCTCATTTCATTTCACGTCTCTCTGATCCGTCACTTTTTGTCCGCATTTCTCTCGCCCCGCTACACCCACCACCTCTTACTGTCTGTCTCGCCTTCGCTGGGAGTTTATAGACTTAAAAAAATCGGGGACTCCCGGCCCCCCAATGGGCCTGGTCCCACCACTGACCTCGTACGTGTAGTTGGGACAGGAGATGAACACGAACGGCCACGTGAAGGGATTCATGGTCGGCATCGGATACTGACGTAGCCTGTACACTGTGTGCGGGAAAACACCCCCAATTAGCACGGTTGGCTACGTACGGTGCAAAAGAAGTTCAAAACATCGGTACGTACACACAATAACACACACCAGAAGGAGTGGTAACACATGTTGTTGTGTGCTGGACACAACAATTACACACAGTAGAAGGAGCGGCCACACAATTTGTGTGCTGCACAACAACAACAACACACACCAGGAGAAGAAGCGGTCACACATATTGTGTGCTGCACAACAACAACAACACACACCAGGAGAAGAAGCGGTCACACATACTGTGTGCTGCACAACAACAACAACACACCAGGAGAAGCGGTCACACATATTGTGTGCTGCACAACAACAACAACACACACCAGGAGAAGCGGTCACACATATTGTGTGCTGCACAACAACAACAACACACACCAGGAGAAGAAGCGGTCACACATATTGTGTGCTGCACAACAACAACAACACACACCAGGAGAAGAAGCGGTCACACATTGAGTGCAGCACAACAACAACAACACACACCAGGAGAAGAAGCGGTCACACATACTGTGTGCTGCACAACAACAACAACAACACACACCAGGAGAAGAAGCGGTCACACATATTGTGTGCTGCACAACAACAACAACACACACCAGGAGAAGAAGCGGTCACACGGTACACACAGGGTCAGCAGCAATTGAAAAGAATTAGCACTCATACCACTCCATCATCACCGGCCATTTTCAGCCGCCTCTCAATGTTATTTCTCGTACACGCAACGCAGGAGCAAGGAGGGTAGGTCACCGAGACGGGAGATTAAGTGGCAGCCTGGTCTTGGCTGCCAAGTGCAAGACCTAAATGCCAAACGGTGGCGATTACGGGATTGTAAGAGCAAACCTTGGTGGCTGTGTTTCAGCTGCGCGGCAGCTGCAGAATCTGGCAGAGGGAAGGACGCGATGGCAACATGCGGTGGCATCAGTGGCGATAACCTTGACAACCTCGAGACCGTGACCTTGACTGCAGTGGGATGGTTGGCCAATTCCTTAATATAATGATATAGTTTATGTATCTATGTATCTTTCCGAGAAGGACTCATCGAGTCCGATGACTTTATTTAAAGGAGAGTCGTCCTGCTTTGGAATATTTCACCGATTCCATTTTTATTGAGCGCCTTTGCACGTGGGAGGAAACTCGAGTTCGCAGAGAACATCCCACCACACACAAAAACAAAGATTCCCCATAGAGACTCAACAGACTGATGGGGCAAGTGCTGTTAGCGAGCACTTATGAAGGGCCAGAACGGCACACGAGGGGGTGGGTGGTCAGCACCACGCCCGTCCGCTTTTGTCTTCCACATCGCAATGTTTACACACCACACCAGGTAGTAATTTTGAGGCTGAGTCGCCCTAGGGGAGGCACAAGACCGGTTCAAATAACCGTCACCCGTGTTGGCCCATGAGTGGGAATCGAACTCGGGTAGCCGGGTTCGTAGCACAGCGCGCTAAACTGCTGCGAGAGGGGTTAACGCTGAAAAGGACCACACGAGCGTGCAGCCTTCTTGCTGGTCACCTCCGCCAGTCCCAGCTGGTCCGGATAGTTTCACAAAGTCCACGCGAAAACCCACCGGCGGTGCCGCATCACAGGCGCGTGGCTTCCAAGCCGGTGGCAATAGTGACGATGGGCGAAGGGAATGCAATGGAGGGCCTCTTGTCCAAAGTTTTCTATCCCACCATCCCAGGTCCCCGCTCCGTATTCTCGCACCTCATGCCCCTGCTGCCCCCGTGCGTCCCGGGTGCAGTTAAAAAATGATGAGGTTATGATTTTAGAAGCGACCTGGCTATCACAAATGATAGCCCAAACGAAGTGGCTTCTATGGGGTGGGAATTTCTCGCGGCCAAAACAACTCTAAACGCCATTGGAACCTCATTTGCCAGTAAAAAATAAGAGAATTGTTTTTTTTTACCCTTCTATCTGGCAACAAAACTGACACCTTTTTTTTACAAGGAGTTATGTTTGCATAGACCACAATACCTGCAGCCATAATGCAAAAAAAAACATAACTCTGATAATATATGCACTGTCCTTGAAGTTGATTGGTCCACACTCTAAACGCGTGACGTTGGCTCGAAATGCGGGAGGGAAAAACCGGAGGACCCACGGGGAGAGAACTCGAGACAGCTAAACTCTAAAATATACAGCAGGCGTCAGGGTCGGGATCGGGATCGAACCCACGACCTTCTGTATACCAGGCGAGGTAGTTAACATCTCGCCACCTCGGCACCCCAGTTGCACCGCCTGTACACTCGACAGCTACGCCACTGGCCTGGTGATGTTCTTGCAATGTGAGAGCAACATCAGAGTGGGCGGAAGTCAGCTGTTGCTGCTGCAGCTGTTGTTGTTGTTTACGTGGTTGTTGTTGTTGTTAACGTGGTGGCGAGCCCTGGGTGTGGTCATCACTCACCGGAACTCTGCTGGTCCCGGAGCGTCACGTGGATGAAGTAGTTGCCGATCTCGCACACCTGCACGCAGAGCAACGGAGACGTAGACGTGGCAACCACGGCGATCACCGTGGGGATGGAGGAACTTGAGTTTAACACGTCGTAGTAGGCTTTCACGACCAATATTATCCATAAAAAAATAACCCGTAAAAACAAAGTTTTTCACTATTAATCCTTTATATGCGTGTTCAATGGGCCACAACCCAGCCCACATTGGTCTTTGAAACGGGCGGCTAGAGTCCTCTCGTCCTCTGGCTTGAGATGGCTGCCACCTATGGGTCAGATGATTGCCTGCCACCATTAAGCAATTGGTAATTAATTATAATTTTTTGTTTACCTAAAAAGTGTAAAATTTTGGAAAAAACATTTTCACGAAAAGAAATTGTCACGCACAACGAGTCTGTGTGCAAAATGTCAGCTCGATTGGATCACGGGAAGTGGGTTAAAAAACGACCGAAAATTTGCACGGTCGTAAGTGCGCAAGCAAGCAAGCAAGTGAACTTAATATAAAGGATTTTAAAAGTTTTTTTTGTGGGGTTAGAATGCGTCAATATAAATGTGTCGTTTACCCACCACCACCCGATACAGCCAATTAAAAAGGTTTGTCACGTAAACAAAACGCGCCAATGAGTTACTACTTCAGCACACCAGCGTGCCGGAGAGGAAACATTTAAATGTTGTGGGGTTACTCTCCAACACACCACCACTCGCTCCACACACAGTCGAATCAGGCATGCAAATATCAATTTCCACACAGCATTTGTGAAGGATGTCATTCTCTGTGGCCCAGTCTGGCTCTCCCTCTCGCATCCCCTCCCCACACCCCACCGACTATCACGCTCTCGGCTTCAGAATAAGGGCGTCACGGTAGCAAGGAGATGTTAACTACCTCGCCTGGTCTACAGCAGGCCGTGGGTTCAATCATGACCCTGACGCCTGCTGCTGTATATTTGGAATTTGCGTGTCTCTCTCTCTCATCATCATCATCACGGTGGCTAGGAGATGTTAACTACATCGCCTGGTCTACAGGAGGCCGTGGGTTCAATCATGACCCTGACGCCTGCTGTATATTTGGAGTTTACGTCTCTCTCCACGTGGTCGTGTGGATTTTTTTCCGGGTCCTCCGGTTTTCCCCTCCACATTTAGAATCAACATAACGCGTTTAGAGCATTTGGCTGCTATACATGTCCACACGATAAGCGACTTTGTTGAGTTTTCAGTTGTGGCCGGGTCGCTTCTGAAAAAAGAGCGACACAGCTCAGTGACCCTTACCTGGTAAAATAAAAAACATGGCTTAGTTTAGAATCCACAGACTTCACGGAAGCCGAGTTGAGTTAGTCGTGAACATTCAGGCTTTCATGATTTTCATTAACAGGACTGTCGTCACGCATGACCTCACGTGACGCGAGGTCACGCACCAGGTGCTTAGCTACAACGGGGGAGGTGAGGGGGGATGGAGATTGGGCAGGAGGCAGGGGAGCATAGTAGGGTACAACAATGATCGATTCTGCACTGCCCTCTGCTGACATTGCTGTAGCAGCTACAAGTTCACTGGGCCTCCTCCTGCACTGTCAAGTTGTTTGAAGTTCAAGTAAACTCGACAGGTGCGGCGACGACGGAGTGATCTCACAAGGCTCTCCATGCACGTGTGTGGCCGACCCGCCCACGCTCGATCCAGGCTCAATCCTGCTTAGATTGTTCGGTTTGACGCAATCAGGGTGATTCGACCGGAGGCGATTTGGTCTGAACGATGTTTCGATCGCGAGGTGGGTGCCTTCAGACAGCGCCCGCCCCCCCCCCGTGCCCCCCTCCCCACCTGCCCTTCCCCCCCACAATTTGTAATGCACTCGGTTATTACGCAGCATATGGCATTCAAAGACAAAGATCCCCCACATAGCCTTTGGGGCAATTACTATCAGCGAGCACCAATTAAGGTTGGCACGCGAGGGGGTAGGTGGTCAACACCACATTGGGCTGCCTTTGTCTCCCCAGTGCTGATGTTTACACACCACACCAGGCACTCATTTAAGGCCGAGCCAACCTAGGAGAGGTCCAGGACAGGCTCAGATAATCGCCACTGATGTTGGCCATGAACGGGCATCGAACTCGGGTCACCAGGCTCGCAGTGCGGCCCGCTTGCCGCTACGTCACCGCCCCCCACACAGACACACACAGACACAGATACACACACAGACACACATACACACACAGAGATACACAGACACACACACATACACACACACAGACACACACAGACACAGATACACACACAGACACACAGACACACACACAGATACACACACACAGACACTCATACACACACACACAGACACACAGATACACACACACAGACACACACACACACAGACACACACACATACACACACAGATACACACACACAGACATTAATACACACACACAGATACACACACACAGACACAACACACACAGATACACACACACAGACACTCATACACACACACAGATACACACACACAGACACACACACAGACACAACACACACAGACACACAGACACACACAGACACACACACAGATACACACACACAGACACTCATACACACACACAGATACACACACAGACACACACACAGACACACACACAGACACACACACACAGACACACAGTCCGGGCATTGGTAGCTGGTTGTGAGCAAGGATGAAAGCGAGTGAGGCTCGTGTGGCCTCTTGCGTTCGTACTTACGATGAAGCACATGAGCCCCACACCCATCTGCTTGTTTGCTGTAGGGAGACACACGTGGCCAGGTGCGGAGCAAAGTCACGCCGTGCGTGCGTTCAACTCAAAAGAGGCTAATGCTAGGGGCATTTTAGAAACGTCCTTAAAAAATACAATTGACAGCGTGTCCCACGATGTCCCATTGCATGTTTTACTCACTACTGTAGCGAGTGAAATTTTGCGAAAAAGCACACAGCCTCTGTGCAAATGCAAAAAGAAACTGCCGACAAACTAAACAATTCTAGATTTGAAGCTTTCGTGACTGCAAGGATTCATACTCTTCGGTTTTTTCGGTAAAGTCACGTAGGTAAAAAATAATAAAAGTTAAATAATAATAATAAATGAAAATAAATCAATTAAATCACGACGTTAAATCACAACGTTATTTTGCCGTGCCTTTTTACACCTGATGGAGGAAGCTTGTGTTGCCTCCGAAACGTCGTGATTTAATTTATTTATTTTCATTTATTATTATTTTACTTTTATTATTTTTTACCTACGTGACTTTACCGACAGAGTATGAAACTAAACAATGTTTTATTTTACAAGGCAAAATAAGGCCCACTCTTTTTCAGAAGTGACCTGGCCACAAATGATAGCTCAACGAAGTGGCTCATCATCACGTGGACATGTCTGGGATCCCAGTACTCAAAACGCGTGACGTTGAGTCCAAATATGGAGGGGGAAAAATGAATAACGGGGACTCCGGCGCATTACGCTGTTGTGATTCTGGAATATTTGAATCGACACAGCATCAGAAGAACCTCATCCAAAAGTGGATTTGTTATAATTTACTCTTACTTTAATTCAATTGACCCAAAGATTGTGCCAGTGTTGCAAATTATTTACGGCGGAGGTTGTTCCATCGAACTGCAGCACGCTGGTCGGTGTTAACTACCTCGCCTGATCCCGACCCTGACGCCTGCTGCTGTATTTTTGGAGTTTGCGTCTCTCTCCCCGTGGTTGCGTACATTTTTTCTCCGGGTCCTCCGGTTTTTCTCTCCGCGCTTAGAATCAACGTGCGTTTAGAGCAGGGGTCCTCAAACTTTTTAAACAGGGGGCCAGTTCACTGTCCCTCAGACCGTTGGAGGGCCGGACTATAGTTAAAAAAAACTATGAACAAATTCCTATGCACACTGCATATATCTTATTTTGAAGTGAAGAAACAAAACGGGAATAAATACAATATTTAAAATGAAGAACAAGTAAAGTTAAATCAACAAACTTGCCAGTATTTCAATGGGAACTATGGGCCTGCTTTTGGCTAATGAGATGGTCAATGTCCGGTTCCATATTTGTCACTGCTAGTCGTAACAAGTGATGCAAGTGTGCATCCATTAGTCTAGATCTGGTTGGAGATTTCAAATGTTTCATTCTGGAAAAAAATCTGTTCACAGACATAAGTGCTGCCAAAGATGGTTGCCATATTGAGTGCATGGTTCCTGAGATGAGGATATGTCTCAGAGGGGAGAGATGCATAGAAATTATTAAGGCTGCTTGACTTGAATGCGTCTTTCAGAGAGTCACAATTCTGCAGTTCAGCCAGTTCCATTTGGTAAATTGTATCCACATTTTCAATGTCAATAGAAAATGGGTTACGGAAAAGCTGTATGTCCTGTTCATGGAGATGAAGCTCTTTAAATCCAAATTGGAACTCCTTTTGCAATTTTTCCAGTGAATCCACACGTTTTGTTTGGGAATGCAACCAATGGTTTTTCCGCTAACAGATTTTGAGTTGTGGGGAGATGGCAGAAGTTTTCCTCCTTCACTTGTTTGATGAGGAGGCCTAATTTTACTTCAAATGCTTTGACATGTGATTGCATATCACAGATGAGCTTCCCCTTTCCTTGAAGTTGCACATTGAAACTGTTGAGTAGCTCTGTTACATCTGTCTGAAAGGCAAGGTGCCATTTCCATTCTGCATCATTGAGCTCTGGTACTTCTTTGTTTTTTTAAAGCAGAAAAGCTGTAATCTGTGGAAGTAAGTCATAGAAACGTTTCAAAACTCTCCCTCGACTCAGCCAACGGACTTCTGTGTGATACAGAACATCTTCATAGTCAACATTTAGCTCAGACAGAAATGCCTGAAATTGGCTGTGGTTTAGTGCATGAGCTCTAATGAAGTTAACACAAGATACCACAAATTTCATAACCGAGTCCCACTTCAGTGATTTACTACACAGCGCTTGTTGGTGGATGAGGCAGTGTATGGCTATTGGATGAGAATGGTTATGTTTGTCCATCTCTTGGTTAATGCGAGCAATTACTCCTTTCTTAGACCCCACCATGCTAGGAGCACCATCAGTTGTCACACTGGCTAGTTTAGCCCAGTTCAGCTCCAAACCATTCACAGTTTGGCAAACATTTTCATAGATATCCTCTCTTCTTGATTCTTTCGGTAAAGTCACGTAGAAGGGAAGTAATAAAATAATACAAATAAAACATAATAAAATTATTCTCACGACGTTTAGGCCACAACGCAAGCAGCCGTCCTCAGGTGAAAGCCAGGTCTGTCGGGGAGACAGCGTCTGAATGAAACAGCACACGAGCTTGGAGCATATATAAGCTGGGTTGGAAACGGGGGAAAGAGCGCCTTGACAAATAATTTGCATATCAAGAGGAATTTAGCATATTTATGGGACATGCAGGAATGTTATTAGTACTACATATGCAGCACGGGCATATGTAGTACTAATCACATTCCTGCATTTCCCATAAATATGCTAAATTCCTCTTGATATTGAAATTATTTTGTCAAGGCGCTCTTTCCCCCGCTTCCAACCCAGCTTATATATGCTCCAAGCTCGTGTGCTGTTTCATTCAGACGCTGTCTCCCCGACAGACCTGGCTTTCACCTGAGGACGGCTGCTTGCGTTGTGGCCGAAACGTCGTGAGAATTATTTTATTACTTCCCTTCTATGTGACTTTACCGAAAGAACCAAGAAGATGAATCCCTGCAGTCACGAAAGCTTTAAATCGAAAGATATCCTCTCCTGTAGTTGTTCCTTTGATGCTTTGCTGTGCAGCAAGCTCTTCTGTGACTTCGAAATAGTCATTCGTCGCACGAATAAAAATTTGAAGTTGTGCAGAATCACGAACATCATTGCTTTCGTCGAGTGCCAAGGAAAAATAGGAAAGTTTTTTTGTGGAGTTTTGCAAATGCTGATGCAAATTGTCTCCCATTTCTTCAATCCTCCGTGTAATTATAGGTCCTAAAAGACTCACTGTACTAAATAAATCGGCCTTCTCTGGACACATCTCTTTGGCAACAGAAAGAAGGCATTCTTTAACAAATTCTCCCTCCACGAATGGTCTGCCAGTGCATGCTATTAGCTTGGCAACTTGAAAACTTGCTCGCAGTGATGAAATATTTAGCTGCTTCTGCTTCACAAAACTATTTCGCTGAGTTGTTAATGTATTTTTCAGTTTTAATATTTTATCTTTTCTCACTTCTCCGACCAAACAAGCATATTTATCTTTATGTTGAGTTTTATAGTGTTGACGTAAATTGTATTCTTTGAACACAGACACTATATTCTGGCATATCAGACACACAGCTCTTTCCTTGTACTGCATGAAAAAGTAATCATAAGTCCACTGTTTTTTGAATATCCTACACACCGAGTCAATTTTTCTCTTTCTTGACATCATTGTTTCCTAGGGAGTCAAAATTGCTATTAGTAAAATACCAATATATATAGCGCTACAAAAACAATATACCAGTAATAACTTTGCCCACACAGAGACATACAGACTGCACTGCCCATCAATGCAGTCTGATTGGGGGAAACTCCGCCCCCTCTCCCTCTTCCACCAATGACCGTCCTTCTCATGCAGAAAAAAAGTAACAGACAGGCAGCGGCGGCAAAAACACCCGGCGGGCCGGATAAATGTCCTCGGCGGGCCGCATGTGGCCCGCGGGCCGTAGTTTGAGGACCCCTGGTTTAGAGTATTTGGCTGCTACAAATTTCCACGCGACCAGCCACTTCTTTGAGCTTAATAACTCAGTGGGCTTTATCTTGTGAAATACAAACAGATGTTATAGTTTTTTTGTTTAATTTGTCGATGAAGGCAGTGGTGTGTTGAGAATGGGGGATACCCAGGGTAGAGGTCGCAACCGGGTACCCGATACCCGTACCCTACCCAATACCCGGCTACCCGTACCCAGCCGGGTATGGGTACGGGTACCCGTTTGCGACCCTGGTGCGGCCGGGTACGGGTACAGGTAGACCGTGAGTCACTGGTGAGTAACCGTTTGTCACTCATTTCCCAACGTCTTGTCTCTTCTCACAATTCAAGTTCCTAGAATCAACCCACCCGCGCCTGCAACATGGCTTCATCCCAGAGGTCGCAATCAGGTACCCGTTTGCGACCCTGGTGCGGCCGGGTACGGGTATGGGTAGGGAATCAAAACCCGTTTGCGACCTCTGACCCAGGGCCACATTCGATATCACTCACTACCGGTGTTAGCCGTGATCGGGTTATCAAACCTCAGGCCTCCTGAGTTCATCGTCGCAACAGTCACAATTACTACTCCATGGCTCCAACAATGACACGGAACGCAGGCGCGGTGAGTTTGAAATGCTTTGCAATTCATCATGCAGGTGGGTCTGCTTAACCCTTTCCCGTTCTGACGACGTCTGCAAGTTGCAGGGTGGGTGTCCCGTTTGCCGCTGAATCTCAGAACGCGGAAGTGGCTGAGCATTAATTTTGTTTAGAGAGGCGTAGCGCCTTTGTCTCTTAAAGACATTGTACTCACCGCACAGAACCGTAGCGACATGACCACACTCTATGATAGCTGGCGCCAAATTGTGCCACGCGCCCTGCCGCATGGCCGTTATTTTATTAAAGTTTTTCTACCGATTCCGTTCCAATAACTAATTAATGTACACATACGTTAAGAGAACTAACTTGATATGCAAATTCTTTTGTCAAGGCGCTCTTCTTCCACCTCCAACCCAGCTTATATATAAGCTCCAAGCTTGGCAGTGTCTCATTCTTCACCTGAAGACGGCTGCTTGCGTTGTAGCCGAAACGTCGTGAGAATTATTTTATTATGTTTTATTATTTTATTACTTCCCTTCTACGTGACTTTACCGAAAGAACCAAGAAGATGAATCCCTGCAGTCACGAAAGCTTTAAATCGAAATATAATGTAAAAAAAAATGTTTTCTTGGACTTTACGTAGAAGCAGCTGGGAGTCCTCCAACACAGGCGTGTCTTGGGAAACGTTGAGAAGCGATAAGAGGGGGGCAAGGGGGGTACTCACAAGGCGGTGTGTAGAGAGGGTGGTTGATGTAGAATGCCATCCATAACGTGAAGAGCATGTAGTAGGTGTAATTCTGTGGGCGACACGGAGACCACGATTAGCACCGAGAGACGCTTCACAGCCGCGTGTGTATTGTTGTACTGCACTCAGTCTGTGTGGCCGCTCCTTCTGCTGCGCGTGGTTGTTGCGTGTATGCACGTTGAACTTCTTTTGCACCGTACGTCGCCAGCCGTGCTAACAGGAGGTGCGGGCGGGCGGGGGGGAGAACAAACTACAACTCCACTGCTGGATGAAGGCTTCCCCCAAGATATCGCTCACGGCCCTACAATGGAACGAGGCATCTAGCTCCCTCCACGCAAGGCCGTGTGTAAGTCGTAAAGTAAAAAAACAGCAACAACAATATTGTGGCAGACATCCACGTGCGCGCGTGGCTGCGTATCCGTAAGGACCAGAGTGATGTCGCTCCGTCGCATGTTCGTCGTCATCCCCCCCATCGCAACGCTCCTGCGAGAGACCTCCAGCCTTGCCATGCTGGCCTCTTGCTGTGCGTGGCCAAGGTCGAACATCGGCTCGATGGGTGACCCGGAATTTTTCCAACGCGGGCTCCCAGGACTCTGGAATTCACTTCCACAAGATATTCCATGTCCGTCTCGCGCCGAGTCCCTGTTCTCAAATGCCTTTTCACTTCCTGCATATTTGTTTTCACCCTGGGGGTTCATTCAGAGGGGTGTTCTTGTCACCGATTCTGCACGTGTGTATATTGAACTTCTTTCGCGCCGTACGTAGCCAACCGTGCTAATTGGAAGTGCCGGGGAAGGACAACAAACTCATTCTAGATTTGAAGCTTTCGTGACTGCAAGGATTCATACTCTTTGGTGTTTTCGGTAAAGTCACGTAGGTAAAACAATCAATAAAATAAAATAAATGAAAACAACTAAATTGAATCACGACACAAAAAGCAGTTTGAAAGGACTGAGTTTGCAATCTATATCCAGTGGCTTCCTACTACTGGAAGGAAGAGCGTTCCAGATGGCCGCAGAAACGTATCTGGAAGCGCGCGATGCGGCAACTTTGTTTGTTTGATGGCCAGCCACAAGGCGCTGCGAGAAAGTCCGGAATTCACGTGATGGTTTAAGCTCCTTGAACAGATCAGCAAGGCATTGTGTGGTTCATTTGGGGGAAGCACTTTTTGTGTAATGAGTGCGACCTCATGATGTGTTCATTCGGCAAACGGAAGCCAATGCACTTTGTGATCTCTGTGTGAAAGATGCTCTCAGAGTTTCAATTATTAATACGATAATTCAATCCACCCTTTCCCAGCCAGCCTCGACGAAACGTCGCCATCGCTTACGGCGGTTTGATTCAATAGTGAAACATTCTCATTCTCGTCTCGAGGGGACCTTTTTGGCGGGATCAAAGTGTGAAAAATAAGAAAAGGATTTAAAGCTTTTGTGACTGCAGGAATTCATCTTCTTGGTTCTTTCGGTAAAGTCACGTAGAAGGGAAATAATAAAATAGTAAAAATTAAACATAATAAAATACAATTATCACGACGTTTCGGCCACAACGCAAGCAGACGTCCTCAGGTGAAGAACAGGCTGTCGGAAAGACAGCGTCCGAATGCTGTCTTTCGCTGTCTTTCCGACAGCCCTGTTCTTCACCTGAGGACGGCTGCTTGCGTTGTGGCCGAAACGTCGTGAGAATGGTATTTTATTATGTTGTATTTTTATTATTTTATTATTTCCCTTCTACGTGACTTTACCGAAAGAACCAAGAAGAATAAGAAAAGGTATGAAATAAAACAGGAGGTGCTAAGATGTTCAAACACCTAATATTGCGAGGAATCAAGTCTGCATTAACCACACACAGAACTTGTGATGAACATGCAAACTTGTGATGAACACAAGTACTGTGTGTGGTTAATGCAGACTTCATTCCTCGCAAAAGGTTTCTCTTTGGTGTTTGAACATCTTAACACTTCCTATTTCATTGCCAGAAAGGCTAAAACCTTTTCTTATTTTTCATAATTCTTGTCTCATTTGTACCATTTTTGTATTTTTTTTTCTTGGCCGTTTTCCTGTGTCAGTGAGCCCTGAGAGGGGCGATATTAACTGGTGGATTGGCAGCTCAAGGGGTTAGAGCCGATGAGCCAGCACCTCCGACCGAGATCCTGGCTTTCAGCCGCCTCCGAATGCATCGAAGCTCTCTAGCTGTAAGAGAGTCGTTGGTCTTAGCCCGGTCAACAACAACTATTTCACTTAATTTGGATACATTCTCGCTCTGACAACGTGGGAAAGGGCTTCCGCCCTCGAGTCTGAAGGGGTCTCAGAAGTAGTTCTGTAATTTCGATTTAAAGCTTTCGTGACTGCAGGGATTCATCTTCTTGGTTCTTTCGGTAAAGTCACGTAGAAGGGAAATAATAAAATAATAAAAATAAAACATAATAAAATACAATTATCACGACGTTTCGGCCACAATGCAAGCAGCCGTCCTCAGGTGAAGAACAGGGCTGTCGGGAAGATAGCGACAGACCTGTTCTTCACCTGAGGACGGCTGCTTGCGTTGTGGCCGAAACGTCGTGAGAATTGTATTTTATTATGTTTTATTTTTATTATTTTATTATTTCCCTTCTACGTGACTTTACCGAAAGAACCAAGAAGATAGTTCTGTAATGACACCTTCCGTGCACCGTACTCTAGTGCACACTGGGGGGAAGGGGGGGGGGGTGTCACACGGCTCTGCCACAGTCCGAAATGGATTCTTCTTCATCGCACGTCACGCCGAGAGCGAGCACGATTGGAATACAATTGAGGCGGGGGGGGAGGGGGTGAATTGAAAAAGATAATCGACATTCATCGATCAGCCAATGCACCGCTAGCGCACGGCCTTGCGTGTTGGAGGCGCGTCCAAAAGGAGGCCCAAGAGATAGATGCCTCGGTCAATCGCAGGACCGTGAGCGACGATGACGCACTGGGGGTGGCCTTCATCCAGCAGTTGAGTTGTCTTCAGTTTGTTGTCCTTCCCCCCCCATCCGCCCCGCACCTCCGATTGGCACGGTTGGCTACGTACGGTGCGAAAGAAATGCAACGTACGTACGATGATGACGGCAATCACAATGATGTCAGAATCAGAATATTTATTGAGACTGGAGGAATCCGATGAGCTTTCAAGCTCTTTTTTTCACAGATGCCCGGCAGAGGCAGGTCAGAACGTTACAATAACAACAAACAATAAATAAAAACACAACCGGAGTGTAAACTAGAAGAAAAGTTAGCAAATCACGAATTAATATTTTTTTAATACATAATTACAAAACAAAACTAACCAAGGCATCGGTGGATCCCACCCACCGGCTTCCACTCGCCTTAATCATGTTGCGCAGGGGCATGGTGCCGCGGGACGCGATTTGGTGGACGAAGATGGCCTCCAGGAGACACTTGACGTAGTGGAATGTGTGGCAGACAAAGGCCAAGCTGTCCAGAGCGGGGAGAAACGCGAGCGATCAGTACTGCGGGGTTTCTCACAACTCCACAGAGCCAGCAGCGTCCTGGCAAACCTCTGCTGGATGAAGGATTCCCCCCCACGCCACCGTCAGTCATGGGGGCTGTTCGATCACGCCCTAGCGAACGCTCGTTAATGGGGGTGGCCCGAACGCTAAAAAAGAATCGCGTACGTCATCGGAATGGGAAAGGGGGTTAATTGGCGGTGGGATTGCGAACGACTTAATCACGATGGCGTTACGCGTGACGAATCGACACGTGGGCGCGCTCGCTCGCGCGAGAGACCCCGGCTGTCGTTGGTGGCAGCGGAGGTGGCGGCGCTGGCGGCGGTGCCGGCATGTACTTACTGCACCACCCTGTGCGCGCTGAGGGTGAAGTCGCTCTCCGACGAGTAGAGGAACGGCGTGCGGATGTAGAAGAGGAAGTAGACGCCGAGGATGCTGAGGTACTTGATGAAGAACACCTGGGGACTCGAGCGAGAGGTTCCAGCGGCGGTGTCAATCGATCAACCGAAACTTTGTGTCTTTAAAAAGGCGCCTTTCTTTAAAAAAATTACTGATAAAAAACAAGGCCCCACCGATTACCACGGGTGGCTACGCACACATACAAAAATGCCGAGCCGCCCACCCCTCCGCTGGGCTCAGCCGCCAACCCACCGTGGTCCAGTTGACCTGAGGTCCCAGGTCGTAGAAGTAGAAGGTGGCTGTGGTCCCTACGGGGAGACTCTTCAGGACATCCTCATCCCTCACCGCCTTGCCCTCTGCCCACAGCAAAGACAAAGATCGCTCCCGGTTAGCTCTTAACAAGAACGAACGACCAAACAAACAAAAGCTCAAAACACATTCATTACTCAAGACGCTTTGGTTCTTTCGGTAAAGTCACGTAAGTATAAAATAAAATAAATCACGACGTTTCGGGTGCAACACAAGCGTCCATCATCAGGTTGAAAAGCATAGTCTGCCTCAGCAGCAGACCATGCTTTCCCACGTATGGATTCCTGCAGTCACGAAAGCTTCAAATCAAGAATGCGCGGGAGACTCGGGGCTGTTGCAGTGGGGGTCTCCACCGTGATGATGATGATAAGAGAGAGACACGCAAGCTCCAAATATACAGCAGGAGTCAGGGTCGGTATCGAACCCACGACCTCCTGTACACCAGGTGAGGTAGTTAACATCTCCGTGCCACCGTGGCACCCCGACTCTGTGTCCTAGTTCACATTCGAAGTTTCCACCTTCCCAGCTTTCACCTCGCCAATGTGCACTTCCACGTCGCCACAGGGGCCTTATCTCGCAGGAGGCCACAACTTGCCGGGCCACAGCTTGGCGGGCCATTGGGAGCCACTTCTGGCCCCTGGTGCCACACCGAGTGAAGAAGAACCCAGCACGAGCAGAACGCGTGCGTGAACCTGACCTCTGAACGCAGACAGGGAGCCCTCTACAGACCTCACAAGGACAAAGATCCCCCGTATAGGCTTTAACAGACTGTTTGGGCAAGTGCTGTTGGCGAGTAGCACCTACGAAGGCCGGAACGGCACACGAGGGGGTGGGTGGCCAGCACCACTCCCGGGCCGCCTTTGTCTCCCAAGTGACGGCATTTACACACTGCACCAGGTGCTCATTTGAGGCCGAGTTGACCTAGGGGAGGTCCAGGACCGGTTCAGATCATCGTCACCGGTGTTGGCGGTGGCCGTGAGCGGGAATCAAACTCGGGTCGTAGCCGGGGACCGCAGCGCGCTAACCGCTGCGCCACTGCTCCCCACGAGCCTCGGCACCAGGTGCTCATTTGAGGCCGAATTGATCTAGGGGAGGTCCAGGACCGGTTCAGATAATCGTCACCGGTGTTGGCGGTGGCCGTGAGCGGGAATCAAACTCGGGTCGTAGCCGGGGACCGCAGAGCGCTAACCGCTGCGCCACCGCTCCCCATGAGCCTCGGCGGCTGGGACGGTGGCACCAACATGGGCAACCTCAATGGGGGGGGACGGGGAGCGGGGGGGGGGGAGTTGGCTCGTTGCGAGCCCCAAAATACCGCGTGCTCAATCTTAGCCGCCAGCGTCTATTTCTACTCACGGGTATCGCTTTGCACGGCGCTGCTGCAGAGGGCATGCGGCGCAGACTTCCCGCAGGCCTGCCCCAAATCCGCCGCAAATCCCCCGCGCCGTTCACGAGTTCTCCTCCGCAGGCCGAACGGGGCAGGAGCCAGGAGGCGAGCTCCCTACGATTCGCTATTTTTAACCAAAAAAAATTTAGGTACATTTTTTTTTTTTACCAGGTGAGTTATTTCGCTCTTTTTCAGAAGCGACGTGGCTGTCACAAACGATAGCTCTCGACGAGGTGGCTTAGCGTCGCGTGGAAGTGCATACTCTTAGACGCGCGCGTGATCTTGATTCTAAATGTGGGAGGGGGAAAAAAAACCGGAGGACCCGGACAAGAATCCACGCGACCACGTGGAGAAAGACACGCAAACTCCAAGTGTACACAGCAGGCATCGTCAGGGTCGCGATCGAACCCACGACCTCCTGTATATCAGGCGAGGTCGTTAACATCTCCCCACCGCGTCCGAGAAATACGTGCGCTGTGGTTGACCCTCGTCTGTAGGCTCTTTGGCCGACCCCCACACCTCAGCTTATCCTCGGGCCTACAGCTAGACATGCAGTACAGGGTGGTCCACATGTCTCGTGACCCCCCCATATTTTAATCCTCAAAAAACTTTGTATTTTAGCAAGTAAGGTGAATTTAAAACAGAAATTAATATTCAAAGGAAAACAAAATGTTTGGGGTCAATTAATTGGGGGGTGTGGGTGGGGTCACAAGACATCTGGAGCACTCTCAGTGCAACGGGTTTATTGGCGTGGCCAATTGGGGTGAAAATGACCCCAATAGCCCCCCCTCCACTCATTCCACGTGGTTATCGCACAATTCACTGTGATTGGCCACGTAGAGACATTGGAACCCGCTAAAGTGATACCACCCTCTGGGCTCATGGACTATTTTATCTCGGCTGAGCTTGGAGGCTCCTGTACTGTAGACGCTGGATATAAGCACACCCGCCTTTGGAGCAAGGCCAGCTGTGCTTATATTAGACGTTGTGTGCTTGTATCAGAAGTTACCCTTCACCCCCCCCCCCGCCCACCACCACCGGTGTAATGTAATCACGCGTTGCTTATATCAGAACCGTGCTTATATAAGGTGTGCTTAACTCCTATCTCCCTGGCTGGTAAAGGCTAACACACGCTTATCCCGAAGAAGACAATAGCTAACTCATACAATAGCTAACTCAGTTGGGAACAGGCTGATTAATATAACTCGGCTGGCCATCAGCTTATTTGCTCACCCCCCCCCCCCCCACCTATTTTTTATTGTTGTATGTTGTACGTATGTACGTTGAACTTCTTTCACACCGTACGTAGCCAACTGGACTAATCGGAGGTGCGGGGGAAGGACAACAAACTAAACACAAAAATTCGTTCGAAAGAAATGAGTTTTCAATCGAGATTTAAAGGGTGCATCATAGCTCCAGTGACTTCGTAATATCGGAAGGAAGGGCGTTGCAAATGGCCACAGAAGCTCATCTGAAAACGCGCGATGCGGTGACCGTCTTTGTTCGATGGCCAGCCAAAAGGCTGCTGCGAAGATAGCCGGAGTCTTCGTGATGGTTCACGCTCCTTGACGAGATCAGCAAGGTACTGTGGTTCATTTGTGGCAAGCACTTTGTGTCTAACGAGCGCCACCTCACAATGATTCCGTTCGGCAACCGGCAGCCAACGCAGCTCGGCCACCACTGGACGGACACGGTCGATCGGCTTTGGCGAACATCAACTGGTGGCAAAATATTGTCAAATCGTCCCACTCCAGTTTGTAAATTTAGTCGCTCTACGTGCCGGAAGCTCGCCGCTCAACCGCGCTGGAACGATGTGGAGCAGGGCTTTAATTCGCCCGACACCACCGCATCCAGTATACCCTCTCGCGATGGCTGTGGCTACTCGTCACACGTGCCACCTCCTCCAGTTTACCCTCAAACTCGGAAAAAAACGGCGCTGTAGTCCGTGAGAAATGAAGCAAAGGCTGAGTTGAGAGCTTCCAGTTGGAACCGCGAGGAAAAGAAATGTGTGGTATGGGAAATTAATCGATTGGCACCGCACTTACTTGGGTCGACTTTGAAGCACTGGCGAGACGGATACATCCCGGGATCTGCGGCACATGGCAAGAGACTTGTTCAGTGATGCACAACTTATAGGCACAGACAACAACCGCCGATGTTCAGTGCAGTTATACGATGTTGCTGGCATCTACAAAGGTCATGAACATTGTTGTTGTTGTTATCCTGCCCTTGAGCAGAATCACATGTTGGGAAGGATGTTAAATACACATGAACAAACGTTCTCTTAAAATCACAAACAATAATTCACAAGTTTAAACCACGATACATAAAAAACACGTAAATTGCAAGCCTACTATGTGAACATCAATTGATAATTATAATTTCAGCCGTAGTCGTGATTTCAACCACTTGCATATGCCTCACTGATAATTCCAGTCGCCATAATTTTTTAATCTTTTAGAATTTAGCGAATCTACCTGGAACGTTAAATTACGCTCAAACGTTCCAATAAGCCAGCGGTTTCCCCCCCAAAGGCCTCGCGACGCACCGTTCCTTTCCCGTCGTCTCCCGTACAAATCAGAAATGTCATTTGCGCGCCGTGCACGCCTCATGATGAATTAACACCTCCACCGCGTGACGCAGCGAGCGCCCGATTTCAACGGAGGTCCGTTTTTTATTTGCCACTTCTCTACCATTTTTGTTGTTGCTTTTGTTGGACGAACACAAGTCAAGTCGGTAGAAGCACGCTTATCTATTTTACAAACGACGACCGCCAGCGTGGAATTGCCACACGATAAAGAGGGAGGGGGGGGTTCAAGAAACTAGGGTCCTCTACTCGTCTGGGTCAACCCAACCATGTCCACCCCCCCCCCCCCGATTTGTTTCCAACAAATGCCGGACGCGAGAAATTGCGTGAAAAAACGCACAGCCTCTCTGCAAATGCAAAAAAAAAAGTCGACAAAAGAACAATTTTTAAATTTTGATTTAAAGCTTTCGTGACTGCAGGGATTCATCTTCTTGGTTCTTTCGGTAAAGTCACGTAGAAGGGAAGTAATAAAATAATAAAAATAAAACATAATAAAATTATTCTCACGACGTTTCGGCCACAACGCAAGCAGCCGTCCTCAGGTGAAAACCAGGTCCGTCGAGGCGGTCGAGGCGACAGAGTCTGAATTCAGACTCTGTCGCCTCGACGGACCTGGTTTTCACCTGAGGACGGCTGCTTGCGTTGTGGCCGAAACGTCGTGAGAATAATTTTATTATGTTTTATTTTTATTATTTTATTACTTCCCTTCTACGTGACTTTACCGAAAGAACCAAGAGGAACAATTTTTTATTTGACCAGGTAAGGCCCACTGAGCTATGTAGCTCCTTGTCAGAAGCGACCTGGTCATCACAAATGATAGCACAACGAAGTGGCTTATCACGTGGAAATGTACAGCAGCCAAATGCTCTGAACAGAGAACGTGCAAACTACAAATATACAGCAGCAGGCGTCAGGGTTGAGATCGAACCCACGACCTCCTGTACACCGGGCGAGGGAGACAACATTTCGCCACCGTGTCACCCCACTCCTTGGAAGTGGCAGCTGCCAAGCAGCGGAACGAACGTGTCTGAGAGGAACGTCTACTGGGGAGATGGAGCAACGATGGAATAAATTCAGGGGGCAGGTTTGCCGGTAGATTGTTGGATCCGTGACGGTGTTTTTTTGGATAGGGAATTTCGTCCAGCCGTGGACTGACCGTGGCTGACGTTGACCATGGAATAATGAATGGAGTGAATGAACGAAAGGAGTAAATGTTTGCAGGAAGCGATCCGTGTTGACTCTCCGACAGGGTCCCTGACACCACCTCCTTCTAAGTACTCCGAGGTCAAGGCTCTCTTGCCAGGCTGGTCGGGATGTTGCCACTGTGCAGCTACGAAGCTTTGGCACCGCTTTGCGCCTTCGCCAATAGGACAATCGCAATCGTTCGATGTATTTGAAGTCTTTTTAAACACGTGGACTTTCGCGACCAATAGCCCCCCCCCTCTCTCCTCCGCCTCTGACCTCTGCACCTGATGGGTTCAGTGATGACGTCGTACTGCTGCTGCTGATCTATTTGAGACCGCGAGCAGGTGGGTGGCTTCACGACTCTGGCAAATCGCCCGATGATGCTGGTTGATGTCATTACAAGCGACACGTCACGCTACTCAAATTGTAAATGTCGTGGATTTACTCTCCAACACACTGGTGGGCTGAAGTGGTGACTAATTGGCGTTTTTAGATTTAAAGCTTCTTTCGTGACTGCAGGGATTCATCTTCTTGATTCTTTCGGTAAAGTCACGTAGAAGGGAAGTAATAAAATAAAAATAAAACATCATAAAATTATTCTCACGACGTTTCGGCCACAACGCAAGCAGCCGTCCTCAGGTGAAGAACAGGGCTGTCGGAAGACCATTTTACGTGACTTATCGAAAGAACCAAGAAGATAATTGGCATTTTGTTTACGCGATAAATCTCTGGCTGTGTCGGGTGGTGGAGGGTATTCGACACATTTATACTAACGCGATCTAACCCAAAAAAACCTCCACTATGAATATTTCAAGCCCTAGATTTGAAGCTTTCGTGACTGCAAGGATTCATATTCTTAGGTTTTTTCGGTAAATTCACGTAGGTAAAACATCAAAATTAATAAAAAAATAAAATAAAATAAAGATCACGACGTTTCGGAGGCAACACAAGTCTCATCAGGTGATGCAGCTAATCTGGCTGTGACGGTCCCACCTGATGACGGAGACTTGTGTTGCCTCCGAAACGTCGTGATCTTTATTTTATTTTTATTAATTTTGATGTTTTACCTACGTGACTTTACCAAAAAAAAACCTAAGAATATATTTCAAGCCCTGTCTTGGAAACTCACCTCCCTAAACTGGCCTTCACCACCCCTGACTAGTTCCGGGCCGTGCAACGCCCCTACAGGTTCTGTTCATTTCCCTCCTTTTCCACACGCCGACGACGGCGGAGCCAAAGTTTGGACCTACTAACGGACGACACTCGCCACTTCACAGCACGCACACGACTTCTTTGTTGACGTCTCTGGGACGATCTCCCGGGCCGTGTGAAGTCACCGCCAACGCTGCAGTGCGCACACGCGCGTCGCGTTCCGTATTTTCCGCTGAGCGCACGGCATTCCCGTGTCGCGTTACGGCCGAAACACACAGCGCAGCAGATCCACCACCTCCTCCTCCTCCTCTACCCAAAGACAAAGATCCCCCGTATAGCCTCTGACAGACTGTTTGGAGGGGTTAGCTCTAGTTAGATGGGTTATTGTCAGTGTAAAGGCTGGTACTAGTGCTGGACAGATCTAGTTAGATGGGTCATGGTCAGTGTGGAGGCTGGTACTAGTGGCTGGTTATCTCTAGTTAGATGGGTCATGGTCAGTGTGGAGGCTAGTACTAGTGCTGGTTATCTCTAGTTAGATGGGTTATGGTCAGTGTGGAGGCTGGTACTAGTGGTGGTTATCTCTAGTTAGATGGGTCATGTTCAGTGTGGAGGCTGGTACTAGTGGTGGTTATCTCTAGTTAGATGGGTCATGGTCAGTGTGGAGGCTGGTACTAGTGGTGGTTATCTCTAGTCAGATGGGTCATGGTCAGTGTGGAGGCTGGTAATAGTGGTTGGTTATCTCTAGTTAGATGGGTCATGGTCAGTGTGGAGGCTGTACTAGTGCTGGTTATCTCTAGTTAGATGGGTAATGGTCAGTGTGGAGGCTGGTAATAGTGGTTGGTTATCTCTAGTTAGATGGGTCATGGTCAGTGTGGAGGCTGGTACTAGTGGCTGGTTAGCTCTAGTTAGATGGGTAATGGTCAGTGTGGAGGCTGGTAAAAGTGCTGGTTATCTCTAGTTAGATGGGTCATGGTCAGTGTGGAGGCTGGTACTAGTGCTGGCTATCTCTAGTTAGATGGGTCATGGTCAGTGTGGAGGTGGTACTAGTGCTGTTTATCTCTAGTTAGATGGGTCATGGTCATTGTGGAGGCTGGTGCTAGTGCTGGCTATCTCTAGTTAGATGGGTCATGGTCAGTGTGGAGGCTGGTACTAGTGGTGGTTAGCGCTAGTTAGATGGGTCATGGTCAGTGTGGAGGATGGTACTAGTGGTGGTTATCTCTAGTTAGATGGGTCATGGTCAGTGTGGAGGCTGGTACTAGTGCTGGCTATCTCTAGTTAGATGGGTCATGGTCAGTGTGGAGGCTGGTACTAGTGGTGGTTATCTCTAGTTAGATGGGTCATGGTCAGTGTGGAGGTGGTACTAGTGGCTGGTTATCTCTAGTTAGATGGGTTATGGTCAGTGTGGAGGCTGGTACTAGTGGCTGGTTATCTCTAGTTAGATGGGTTATGGTCAGTGTAGAGGCTGGTACTAGTGCTGGTTATCTCTAGTTAGATGGGTCATGGTCAGTGTGGAGGCTGGTACAAGTGCTGGTTATCTCTAGTTAGATGGGTCATGGTCAGTGTGGAGGTTGGTACAAGTGCTGGTTATCTCTAGTTAGATGGGTTATGGTCAGTGTGGAGGCTGGTACTAGTGGCTGATTATCTCTAGTTAGATGGGTCATGGTCAGTGTGGAGGCTGGTACTAGTGCTGGTTATCTCTAGTTAGATGGGTCATGGTCAGTGTGGAGGCTGGTACTAGTGGTGGTTATCTCTAGTTAGATGGGTCATGGTCATTGTGGAGGATGGTACAAGTGCTGGTTATCTCTAGTTAGATGGGTCATGGTCAGTGTGGAGGCTGGTACTAGTGGCTGGTTATCTCTAGTTAGATGGGTTATGGTCAGTGTAGAGGCTGGTACTAGTGGTGGTTATCTCTAGTTAGATGGGTAATGGTCATTGTGGAGGATGGTACTAGTGGTGGTTATCTCTAGTTAGATGGGTCATGGTCAGTGTGGAGGCTGGTACTAGTGGTGGTTATCACTAGTTAGATGGGTCATGGTCAGTGTGGAGGTTGGTACTAGTGGTGGTTATCTCTAGTTAGATGGGTCATGGTCAGTGTGGAGGCTGGTACTAGTAGTGGTTATCTCTAGTTAGATGGGTCATGGTCAGTGTGGAGGCTTGTACTAGTGG